ACCTAGCCTGACGGTGAAGGGACTCTAACCCCTGATCCGTCTACCACTGAGGGTATTTCATGTCAGACTGTGGTCGGTGCAAGCCGGATGCGGATTCGTATCGACCAGCCATCGCTGGGACTCGAACCTGGTTCACCTGATTGGAAGACGAAAGCTCTATCCCCTGAGCCATCGAGGCTCCTTCAGTTTCATTTGGCATAATGCTGTTGCTCAAGGTCAATGCCTGCCTGATAGTCAAAAATTACTATACCTCTCATACCCTTCTCATACCTCTTTCGGTATGAGACTTATATTCGGTAAAAACTTATTTCCACAGAGGTTTCTTAGTACCAGTATTTGTATGCTTTGTTTATATTGAAATAATAGCAGTAATACACATTGATGATTGGTGACTGTTCCACGTTAAATCTGTCGAGTCACAAAGTCTTCCATGTTCCCATAACAAATCAATACCTCTGAGGGTACTGATACAGGAGTTTCCTTGTCTTCTGGATTGGTTCAAATGATTACAAGGCAACGGAGTTGAACATTAGTAGTCGTAAACCCAAATATTTAGTCGACTGTTCAGCGACGGATATGAAATAAAATATAAAAATAGCAGTAATACCCATTGCCAAAAATTTTACTAAAAAATTTATCTATTTCCAAAAATAATTAATTATATTGCTCGAAATAAATTAATATCGGCACTAATATTTTTATAATCATTTTCGGCTAATGAACTAATGTTGGTACTTATTTCGAAGGGCGTAAAAAATCGTCCAACTACTATTGACGGCAGCAAGGCTTAACTAAATGTAGTATAAAGAGTTTTTTTCAGAGAGATGAGCGATTTCACTCCCAGCTTGTTAATGTGCGGATAATCATGTGTCCGGAATTCCGTCATTTACTCAGTAACTAATTAATATTTTTGAATGATTTTTGTTTCATTTTATTCATTGAAATGCATACTACTTAGTTACCAAATTTTAATTTTTTTTTCATAACTTTCGACGTGGATTGTCAAGACAAGAGTTATTCGATGAACTTAATTCTTTATTCAACGATAAAGCGCCATCCTACAGCACTGCAAAAAATTGTTATAACGAATTTAATCGTGGTCGATGTTCGATCCAGGACGAATCCCGTGCAAGTCGTCCAAAATCCGTTGTTGTGCCAGAAAAGATCGATGCTGTGCGTGAACTGATAAAGCAAGATCGTCATGTGACATACCGTGAGATAGAGGCGTCTTTGGACATTAGTATGACTAGCATCAATAAAATATTGCATGAACATTTGA